TATATAGAGTCTTTGCCCATCTTTTAACTGTATTGTTTATCTTTCTATTATTGAGCTTCAAGTATTCTATCTATATCCTAGATTTAAGTATCTGTCAGTTATATGATTGTTTAGTGTTTTTTCCCAATCTGAGGATGTTTTTTCATTTCATTATGGTCCTTTGAAGCATACCAGGTTTTAATTTTGATGAAGTTCAATTTCTTTGTTGTATTTTTTCTTTAGCTTTTTGTATTTGGGGGTTATAGCTAAGACATCATGGACTAATTCAAAGATCATGAAGGTTTATGCCCGTGTTTTTTTCTAAGGGTTTTGTAGTTGAGTGTTTTGATCCATTTTTAAGTTGATTTCTGCCTAGGTGTAAAATGGGGATGCACTTTCACTCTTCAACTTCTATTTCATTTAGTTGTCCTGGTGCCATTGGTTGGAAAAGCCATTCTTCCTTTCATTGAACTGTTTTGGCGCTCTGTTAGAAGTCACTTGATGGTGAATACGTGCGTTTATTTCTAGGTTCTCAGTTCTCTTCCATCAATCGGTGTGGTTGTCCCTATTTCAACATTACTACTTGTGTCTCAAACTTGAGTCTCAAGCTACTACTTGTAGCTTTGTCATAAGTTTTGAAGTTAGGGTCTTTCCACTTCCTGTGTGTATCTTGCAGCAAGCACCCCACAGGTGCCTGAGATGTGACTAGAGAAGAAGAACTGAAGACATGGACTAAGGACATGGGCTGAGGGAGGACACCAGGGTGTGGGGGGGGCATAAAAGTTTGGAATCAGAGAATCTAGTCTTTATGCCTTGCCTTGCCCCGTGTAAGCTTATGTAAATCACTCTATGTTTCTGTGTCTGTTTTCTGTAGTGTGCGGGTTCTCAGCTAATTGTAAAAAGAATTTTCTATTTGAATATTCTAAAGGCATGAAAAATTCGGCTTCTTTAGACCGATTCCACCATAGTACCCTGTGACTTGTGTGGGCGGGCACATACATGTGGTATGGGTGCAACCAGATGTAAGCCATAATCATAATGAGGTATATGGAGAGCAGAAGACAACACTGGAGGTGTCGGCCTTCACCTTTCCACTTTCTTTAAGACAGGGTCTCTGCACTATGTATGTCAGAGTAGCTGGCCCATGAGCTTCTAGATATTCTCCAGTCTCTGCTTCCCATCTCTCCATAGGGGTGTGCTGGGATTATAGACACTTGCATCGTATGTCCAACTTTTACAAGGGTCCTGGGGATCTGAACTCAGGTCCTCAAGCTTGCATAGCAAGTGCTTTTACCCATTTCTTTAGTCCCTGGACCCCATGATTTTGTAGCAAAGCAGAAACAGACTTTCACTCATTGGAATATAGGCGCAGGACTGGACACACACAGGATGATTCTAGGTTATCTTGTCATGCCAGAGAGCCACAAAGAAATCGAAGACTACCAAGACCACGTCTAAAGGACTCAAACTCTCACTGGTCAAAGATGGGGCTTTACAAACATCAAAAAAGCCAGTAACTGTGATGGATCTAAGTGCATGGCCTATAGTTAAATTTGTGAGTTCATGATTCTGCTACAACCCTCCATCTACTTATTTGGAACTTCTGAATTCTGAGATGTGTGAGAGACCACCACTTATCCTCGCCACTTGGCCTGGTTCTTGTGGCCTTACCACTTTACCTGGGTGCCTTGTTCCTGGGCTCTGAGCCAGTGCTTTGCTGCCAGCTTTCTGTCACCACCCTGTTATTCCGTGTCCATCTGTTTGGAGAAGGCGTAGGGAAGGCGTAGGAAGTTATTGGTAGGAGTCCACCCACCCACAAGTGACCAAGCTCAGCTTGCTGGGTAAACAGTGCCTCTCTCAGAGAAACCCCTTTGCATATTCAAAGATGGAACCACTGCCAAAAATGAAGAGAGAGTAACTCTGAAGGGAAACATTCCCTCACCCTCCTTTACAGCATGCCACACTCTGATATGCAGTTACTTTTCTTTGTTTCCAAGTCAGAAGTTTTTATTAGATGAATAAAGCATGCAATCTCTGCCGCCTGCAACGCCTGTGATCATGAGCTTCTCAAACCGGGGCTCGCAGATTTCAGGAGGTTAAAAAGATGGCTGTTTGCTGAGAAGTGTGACCAGTGGGGCTGAGGTGCTGGGTTATAGTTGGGGCCTTTCTTCTCCAATTCCTCTCTGCTCTTCCCCCCTCTGGGCCTCAGTTTCTTTCCACATAAAAGCAAAATGGCTAGGAAAGCATTGTCTCTCTGCACCATGATGTGCTCTGAGCCCAGTGAGAGGAGCCAGATTCAAAGGTCACCTACTGTACAATTCCCTTTATGTGGCTTTCTAAAAAAAGGCAAAATACAGGGTCAGAAAACAGATCAATAGCTGCCAGGAACAGAGGGGTGGGGGAGGAAGTATCTACAAAGGGGCACAGGGGAACATTTGGGGTGATGGAATTGCTCTCTATCTTGATTTTTTTTCCCGTGGGCTATACATCATCATATGTTTGACAAAATTGATAATATTACATCTAAAATGAATGAGTTTTACTATAAACAAATTACAGCTCAGTAAACAAACAACAAAAATTCTCTCTCTCTCTCTTCTTGCTCTCTTTCTCCCTCAGCACGGCTGAAGTTCCTCTCAGTGCTGACCTGTCTGGATTCTTCCTGAAACATAATCACGGACAGCAGGAAGAGATACCCAAGGTCTTGATTTACTTTAAAAAATTTCCCTCCTTGATTCTACCCTCCTCAACTCAAAACAGCCTTTCCATGATGTAATAATGGGAGAAAGAGGAAGGGCGCCTTTGTCCACCTGGTAGGATGCTTCAGGACTGAGGGAGGCCTCTCCCTGATGGTGCATGTGTCTTGTAGCTGTCCAAAGCTCTCAGAATGGAGGCTTTGTCTGGTCCTCTTGTTCTGGGTCAGGGTTCTGAGTCTCTGACCTGAAATAAAATATTTCTGAATCCAAATCCCAAGGAAGAAGCCACATGACCTGTAGGACAACTGGGAATGCAGGCAGAGATGTAGATCTCAGTCATTTCTGCCTCCATCCAGTCTGAGGGAGGAGCTCACCCCTCCACAGCTGCCCACTCTGTTGTTACTGAAGCCTACTGCAAGGTTTTCACTGAGGCCACCCCAGTGACAGAGAGAGGGAGCCAGGGACTTGTTATAGTCATAGAAAGGCAGCTGCCTGCACAGGCCAACAGAGCCCACAGTCTCTGGCTGGTGGGAAGGACTGGTACTCTAGTACCAGGCCACAGGGGCATGTTGTCTGCCTGGCTGGGGTCTGCAGACACATTCTACCATCCTCAACTCTCAAGCTCATCTCAGAGGTGGCTCTCATACCAGAGTCAATTTCAGGAGCCTTTGCTATGTACCAGGCTCAGCCTAAATAAATCATCTGTGTTAGTTCCCAGCCACTGTAAGAGTTCCACATTCTTCTCCTGGGAAACAAACGTTCAGATTGAAGATGTGGGGCACAGTCTCTGCAGTCAGGCGCTATCCCCTGCCTTGTCTGCTGAAATAAGCCAGGCCTGGCCAGTTCAGCTGCAGGGCTCTGAGGAGGCTGGAACAGGAGTGAACCAGACAAGACGGTTCTGCTCCAGATGGAGTCCAGCCAAGCTTCTCCCCACCCTGGTCTCTTTAAATTAACCAGGCCCCTCAGCATCTCCTTGGCTGGGTGGCCTATCCCTCAACATGCAGCATCTGGGACTTCCCATAGCTTCCATTGCAGGTGCTAAAGGGTAGGATGTAGGGGGCGAAGGCTGAGGAGTAGGCGTTGACAGTGTTACCAAAGGAACAGGAAGGAGTTCCCGAGGAGGGAGGGAACAAACTGGGCAGAGCTTTGTGGGCCCAGGAGCAGACATGTCTGTCTGAGGACTACTTGTGTTTGCAGGCTGCCACATACCAGGAGAAGTCCTAGAATTAGAGATACCTATGGAGGCTCTGATGGGGCCCTGGAGTCTGGGACCAAAGAACAACCAGACCATGGGAAGGACAGCTTCAGGTCTGTTAGGTCAAAAGTCCTAGGGAAGGTGAAGGGAGGGAGGAAGTAATCAGAGCAAGCAGAATCTCTGGGTTTTCCCTGGTACCCCCAGTCACTACCTGCACCCTAGACTTGAACAGATCTCTATCCCTGGAAGTCTGTAGAGCCGTGTGCACACACAGTGAAAGCCTGCTAGATAAAGACTCTGGAAATAAGCCAGATTGTGAACTGAGGAGGAGGAGCTCTAGTTTCCTGGAGGGGTTGACTGTGGTTGAGGATGGAAGGGTAACACGACCGTTATGGGAAGGCCAACACTTGACGGTGGGTCAGAATATAGACTAGAATGGGGACAGATGTCACCTTGAACTTGACCTTGTAGAGCAGGAAATCCTGCTCCAGGAGGTGGCTCTGACGTTGAGAGACAGGTTGGTTTCCCTTCAAATGTGACTGAAGACCCATTCTCATGCCCCTGAGATCACTTCTACCTCCAGGAGCAAAATTTCTGCCATGAAGTATGCTGTGAGGTGCCCGTCTGTCTCATCATTAATAGAGGGTCCTTGTTACTTTGTTCTCTTCTTCCTCTTGGCGGCCTGATTTTCAGCCTCCCACTGTCCTGCTGCTTTGGCGGTAGTGGGAAATGAGATTGTCGCTTAGGAAACCAAGACTCCCTGTAAAGAGTGCCGTCTGTATGCAGTGGACTTTGTGCAGTCCTGGGACTTTATTCAAGAGGGTGTCAGAGCAGCCACTGGATTCCATGCCTGAGCATAGACAGCAGGGCAGGGCAACTACCCAATTCAGGGTACCCTGGCAGAGTCAGGCGTTGCAGCCTTTTGGTGATGCTGGCTGTCCAGAGCTATCAGGATGAGCAGGCTTTTCTGTGTTGCTTCAGCATCCTTGGGAAAGGGAGGCTCTGTGTGTATGAGGAGGGGGGTAGGGATGGGAGTGGGGAGAGATGGTAGATTTTTTTTTTGTGTGTCCTAAAACTGTACCCTGTCCAATGAACCCCCAAACCAAAGAGCCACACAGAGTTAACTAGACTGTAGTGGGTTCAAGTAGTCATTTATTTTTAGACCATTTCCAGCGTGTTTTGTCCTGGGGTCCAGTCCCCAAATTCCAGAAAAATAAACTAATGAGAACCACATGCACTATGAAGAGGCCATTCCAACGTGTCCGTGATCATGCGGTGAATGGGCATAGAATGTAGGACAGAGACCCTGGGTGTGGGCAACCCCCCCTCCCCCAGACAGCTGGTGGCAGCTGGCTCTGTCCCCTCACTGGGGCTGGGGGAAGGCTGAGCCCCAGTTATTTGGACCCTGTCCCTTCAGGGCTCCAGGCCCCTTATTGCTACATTTGCTACTTTGCTACTTTATGGCCCCTGGGTCTTGCCCAGGGGAGGCCTTATCACTGGGTGGCACTAATGAGTAGGATGCTGGAGTCTGCTGTTGCCATGGTTACATGACTATAGGCCTCTCTTCAGAGGGTCCCGTGGTGAGTTATTAGTGATTTATTTGGCCACTGTTCAACTATTCCATGGTCTTTGCTACATATTCATCTTAGCCAGATCCTTTTAGACGCTGGTGGCACATTATCTCTCCCCAGCTCAAGGCTTTGTGCAGTTCCTGGAACTTGCTAGAACATCTCCCTCTAGTACATTCTCCAAGGCCCAATGATGAACAGCCCTCAATCCTTTTCCCTTCTGGGAGGGCTTCTCCATGCTGACTTCTGAAGGCCACGCATGTGGAACAGAGTGAGAGGATGCAGTTTTGGAAAAACACCAACTCCCACAACAAGCAAGGGGGCCAAGGCTCCTGGTTCAGTGTCCTGTTGGTGAGGTAGTTTAAACATCCCAGGAATCCTGCTAGGCATGACCCATGTATTCAGCTAGTCCAAGCAGCAACTTAAGAGTTTTAAGGGGCCCTCCCTGGTGCTGGCCTGGTACCTGGCCAATCAGCAGTGAGTAAGCCTGGACTGTAGACCTATCTGACTGCACTGGCAGCAGGGCCTCACTTTGTTTCTGGGGTACAATAACACCTTTCTAGGAGAATGAAACTGATACACCACTCTCTAGAAGGGCGGGAGGTTTCTTCTGAGCTGCCAGGATCAGGCTGACTGGGTATTGGGAATTTAAATGTATAACCTACTAGCTGGACGCTTCCTGTGCAGGTAAAGCTTACTATAGCCAGATAACCCATCCCTGGGCTTTGGGTGTTTCACTTGAGGGGTTGGAATTGCTTGCTAAAACTGCCCTGATGCTTTGGCCTGGGACCTGCTGAAATGATATTTGCCCCACGAGCCCTCAGTGAAAAGAGTCTCTATCTTAGAGACCAAACTCAGCTAGGAAAGCCCAGTAAGCTTCTAGGGGGCAGAATGAGGTGGAGGAACCTGTTTTGCTGAAGAATGGTTATTGAACATCTAAGGTCATCTGGACTTTTGACTGTGTACACCAGGCTAAAGGGAATCTTAGCTAAGACACAATTTTGTAAATCATTGCATAATAATCTTGCAGGACAGACTAACCTGGACTAGCCAACTTGGGTGGAACAACTTTGTTCGCCTTCTTTCCTACAACCCCTTGATTGATCTACTTAGGAACACATCATGGTGGCCGCAGGACTGAGCTCACCTCTGTTATGAGGTGGGGATGAGAGTTTATTGCTCTAGATTTGAATCCATCTGAAGCATTGTTAGCTCTATGGAACCTGTTGACCCTGCTGCCTTTCTAGATGTCTCCAGGGGTGTTACGAAGCTTCCAGTCTGTTCTATTTCATGACCACAGTCTACCTCACTCTGATGGGCCTTCTGGGAACCTCCAGAGGGAAACTGGTTCTTGGGTTAGTGTGGTACAGGAACAGCAAACAAGAACTGGGGCAGAAAGGGGCACAGAAGTCATGGCTGAGAACCTGCTTCGTCTTGGCTATAGCTTGACTGAGAATGTGTCCTGCAAGCCATGGGAGGGGCAGGCGTCAGCCAGAGTCCTTGTCCTGGATAACCGGAGGCACAGATGTATTCGTTGCCTGGGAACATGCCTTGGCATCGACACAGCCTGGGTAGGAAAGAGTTGCCTTTGGGCAATTTTGGGTGCAGATGAACTCAGACTACAATTTTATTCAGAAACAAGAAGATTGTATGGAGAGGATGAAAGAAAGTGGGATGGGAGGAGAAGAGTCAGAGGCCCCCAGAGCTTGGGTTGGGGCTTTGTTCCATTTTAGTCCTCCTGTGGTCATGTAGTATTGCAAAGTGCCAGGCTCAGTGGGAGCAGCCGACTGGGTGTTTACAGCCACCTTTGGAGACACTGTCTCAAGGAGAAAGAAACCAAGGGGAAAATGGAGATGTGGGGGTCAAGAATCTATAAGGACGATTCTTAAAACCGTAATGAAGATTCTTAATGCTCCTGGTGGCTCCCCTGTGACAGATGGGAGGCTTGTGGCCTGGATCCAGGGATGTGTGGAAGCAGGTATAGACAGGCTTTGGAGGTGAGAGGGCTGGACAGATGGGTCATGTGATGTACCCAGAAGGCTGGGACTGGGAACAAGCAATTGGGCCTTTAGTCACCAGCTGGCGAGTTTGCTTGCAGGAATAAAGAAACACCAGGGACCCAGGGACTGTGGGGTTTTTTCCCTCTCCTTTCTCTGTTTCTGTTTATACTCTCAAGGGAGAGTTCTTACCTGTGGCCAAAAATAGATCAAAGGAGAACTTTCATAGCAGGTGTTGATAGAAGGGGTGGGGGAATGTGAGTGTTTGAATTTGAAAACCCCTTGCTAATACAGTTCTGTCTGAGGGCTCATGGCCATCACAATAATGTCAATGACCATGTTGATGGTACTAGCTACCGTTTGCTAAGTACCTCCTATGTTTCTGGCACCTGACTTGGTGCGTTACATACATGACTTCATAGCCAGGCTGGCAATTTGGTCATTTTGACACACACAAAGAATACAGGAGATCTTTCCCAGGTTCTTCTTGTAAGGTTTGCTTTCTCATTAAATATAAAGGCTACATTTAATGGGAGTGCTTTGGCCGGTCCCTCAGGTTGAGACTGGGAAGGGAATCCTGCCATCCTAGCCTGGACCTGCCATTGCATATTGTATCCTAACTTCAGGAACAACTGAGACCTAACCCAGCAAGGGTCTGGCCAAGCCTGGATTCTACCTTATGTCGATCCTGCAACCCATCTACGTCCAGAAACTTCCATCTGGGGATACCAGGGTGGAGAGGCCCCTGAATTCATGGCCATGTTTATTTTGAGTAAAACATGAGGGAACAAACCAAGGAGTAATGGGGCAGAAGAAACAGGAGACATAAATGATTTTTTTAAAAAAGATTGTCACCAGAACCTTCATAGTAGCTAAACAATACACTCTGTTATCTACACTCCTGGCTCTTCGAGCATCGGACCCTTGGACATTTGATGGGATACAAGGGTGGCTAGCACACCCACAAGACCTCTTTGAAAGCTGGTCTCAAAGGGAGTACAGAGAATGTGATAATGTGAAGTGTCATTCGTGCTGAAGACATGATTTTTGACATTTTATGTGAGAGCAGTGACACCCAGGTGGCTGAGGGGGTTGGGTGGATAGGGGCAAGTGGCAATCAGGACATGGTGGTCGTAACTGTGATGTGCACTGTGGGTACATCAGAGAGGGCATGGAGGTGATATATAATACTAGCCAAGCTCAGGGTCCACTTGTCCCTCTTGAGTTTACTGGAAGGCATGGTTCCCCAGATGATAGGACTAGTGAGGATAATATCTCAAACAATAGTCAGACGGGAACCCCATGAGACACTCTTCCCTGACCAAGTTAGAAACAGGGCCTTGGAGAGAACAAGCACTGGTGTGTAACTATACAAGAGAGAGGCTGTAAACAGGGGCCTCTCCTGGCTGGCCCGGTACCGTGGACTCTTTTTTTTCTCAGGTCCCCATTCACCCACCACGTCTCCCCACCGTTGCCCTCCGTGGCCCTCACTCTTTCTCTTTCACAGTGACCAAATCTCCCCGCAAGGAAGCTCTGTCCGTGGATGTGGAGCGCCGCCTGCCCGGGTGCTCTGCAGGCCCGGACTCTGGCCCTGTGGTGGGGACGGTCAGGAGGACTGCATCAGGCCCGTGAGGCGCTTGCCCGCCAGTGACTTTCCCTGCAGAGAGAGCCAACAGAGCACACACAGGTGTGCACACACACAGAGGGACAGAGACAGAGAGCCAGATAGGTGAATTAATTGTTGCAGGAGTCATTCTGGCTAAATGACCAACCAACCAACCAACCCAGCTGACTATGCTGATGATACAGGCACATCTCATAATGCCTGTGGACTTCCCCTGAACTTGATTTTACTAGACTAAGGAGGTCTGAGGTCAGGAAGGTGGGTTGACTGAAATAGATGGCAGCTACAGATCTGGGTGGTTAGAAACAAAGAAATTCACTAGTTGTAGGAATGCTGAGGACCATGAATCCTGCTGGATATGCAGGTTAGACACACAGCATTCAGGGACTTGGATCCTGGGGCTGGAGCTGTGAACATGACTGGGACCTTCACTGAGCATTGGAGCCACTGAAAGTTCTAGGGAGATGCACTCCTGCTGTTCTTATGTTCTTGATGACTCTGAACAGGGAAGTCTCTGAGCTTACTTAAAACCTATGTGGCCATTCTTCTCAAAGAGTAAAACAGTAACTGGACCATGAGGCCTGGCGCATGAGGCACAGAGGTTCTGGCGCAGTCTAGTTGTCTACATGCCCTGGAGAAGTGGTTGAGGAACAATGATCTGGGATGGGATTCAAAACTAGACAGCACAAAGGGACGAAGATGAATGAGGCTCCGTCACTCTATTTCTCTTAAATGGCCTCCTCCTGTTGCCAGCTCATTCTTTTTAGAAATCCATATTGTTGGGCAGGGGTCTAAGAGAAGAGTGTGGCAGGACCCAGGCAGATTGATCACCATGTCTGGGAAAACACTCAAAGACCATCCTGCTATCGACAGTGGGTCAGCAACACCGTCTCCATCTGCAAAAGGGTAGCAGATGATCCCCTGTCAGCAAGGGCTTCAGGGTTTGGCAATGAGAGTACAAGGGCCAGCCGTTCATCATGATTTCCAAGTGGGGTGTGGGGGCTCATTTTGTTTACTGGGCTTAGCTGCATGTAAGCTGGATGTAATTAAAAAAAATTGATCTGGTTGGTGAAGCCTAGTAGGGTACTCAATAAACTTGCTGATTGATGAATTGATGGATAATGGGCAGACCTAATAAACAAATAAGGACTTAGAGCTCGCTGGATGCAGCCATGTGTCATATGGCTTAGCTCTCCATGGAGGGACATGGCCAGCCGAGCTGAGACTACTGATGGCATGGATGAGGGCTTGTCCAGACTGCTGATGGCATGGATGGGGACTTGACCAGAAATGGAATTACTCCTAGAAGCTGTCAGAAAGTCTGTATCATCTCCCTTCTTCTTCCTGACCTTCATTTCCCTATTCTACTAGTGAGACAAAACATTTCATCTCTCCCATCTTAAAAAATATCACACACACACACACACACACACACACACACACACACAATCCTCCATCAACAGCCTTATCTTAATCTTCAGATACACTAAACTTAGCCTGCAGCAAACTATGCTTATACTAGCCTAAAGACTTTTTAATCAGATTTATTTTTAAACCCTTTAGGGTTCCTGTGTAGGTCTGCTGGTGTGAGTGTGTGTGTGTGTGTGTGTGTGTGTGTGTGTGTGTGTGTGTGTATGTGTGCGAGACCAGAGGAATCAGGTATCGACAGTGTGTAGATATCTCTCTTCTTTGGTTTGTGAGAGGTGCTACGTGTGAGACCAGAGGACTCAGGTATCAATCCTGAGGAGGTACTTATCTACTTTGGTTTTTGAGACATGGTCTCATGAGCCTACAGCTTACCCAAATAGATGTGGCTGGTGGCCAGGGAGCCCCAGGGATCTGCTCATCTTTATCTCCCCAGCACTGGGATTATAAGGATGTACCACCATGCCTGGCTTTTTACATAGGTACTGGGACTCAAACTCAGGTCCTTATGCATGTGCAGCAAGCACATTATGGACTGAACCATTTCCCTGAAAGGATGGCTAATCATCTGTCCGCAGCAGAAACAGAACCACAGTAACCCTTAGGAGACAGAGGCTGGCTTCCAAGGCCTCCCCTCCAACCTGGCTATCACTCTCCGGGGTGTCTTTTCTCAGATGGAGCCAAAGACATTTGTCATTCTGTTGGTTCACCTGGGAATGTGCCTTCTCAGTGTAAGCAGGAAGGTAGGAATCATGGGATTGTGTATGGGGTCTGGTATGGGAAAATGAAAATCTAAGGGCCTCTTGGGCTAAGAGCACTACTTCCTGTCACCTGGTTTGCCCCTGTTCACTTGAAAGGTACTGCAGTAGCCACAGAATCTAGCTTCTCTCCTCTTCAACCAGGATCACAAATTATACATTGTATACCCAATTATCTGTGTTTGGACTGCTAAACATAGCATTTGGGGCTCTGATTTAGCTGGCACATGTGAAAAAAAAAATCACTGAACCTGAAAAACAGTTTCACCAAGGTATATGCAAATGACCAGAGGCAAAGAAAGTAAGGTTTACCAGTTGCCCAGACCCTCATTACAGTTCTATCTTCATCCTTTGGGCTATAGAGGGGTTGTGGGTTGAGGTAGGTTAGAGATTTTTTTTTTTTTTTCTGGAGGACTGAGGATTGTTTGGGTGAATTTGGCTCTGAGGCACTCCACCCTTCACTCATCCTAGCTCTACAGAAAGGGCCTGGCTGAGCTTGGAGGTGATAATTAATCTTTTCCTGCCAAGAACGCAGCCTCATAGCTCTGACTCTGAGGACCTGTGGCCAGCTTTCAAACTGTGTTCCCCTCCCCTTCTTCCCACTGCTCTCATTTCTGGGGACTTCAGGGGCCAAGAGGGTAGATGAACAACCCAGGAGCTGCTCCTGGGATTAGTCCTGGCCTCTTGTCATCCAGGTGGTGTTACATGGCCTCTTGATCTCTCTCCTACCACTGAGCTCACACATTTACCAAATGTCAGTTCTGATGCTAGAGATGGAGGTCAGGAGGGTTCAAGACGGCTTTGGAAAGCAGCTCATCCAGCTGGAATCACCTAGCTGCAATCTACCTGCCACACTACCACCAGGGTAAGTGAAGCTGGGCTAGGGCTGCAAGGACATTAATCACACAGCTGCAGGCAGGGCTAGATGTCTGGCTGGGGGCTTTGGGGAAGAAACTGTGCAACCCCCTGCCTCAGCAGCAGCCTGCCTTCCGAACTGCAGAAGATCCTGTGGTGTTCAAGGATCAAAGTGAAATCCTAGAGGCGAGGCTGACTGTGTTCCAAAATGAGCTGCCCCAGAGGCTAAGCCCGGTGGGCTTGCAGGCAGCTCCAGGCTCCTGCTCTGCCCAGAGACAGGAGAGCTCCCTTCTAGGGCTCTTTCCTCCCTCCACTCTCCTTCCATTCCTGCCCTCCAGCTTGAATGGTTCTGAAGGAAGAAGAGTGGTTGTTTCGCCTGTGCCCAGCACTTGCAGAGTTACAGAGGCAGCAGTGTTTTCAGGGTATGAATGTGTGATGTTCCTCAGTGCTGGTCACTTGGGATTGGATGGTGGTGCCAGAGAACAGCAGCCAGCTCAGCCTGAGGCCTTGGCGTAGCTGAGTGAAGCAGCAAAGGATGGTTGAAAATGCTATTAGCAGGCAGCCTTTGTCCAAGTGAAAAGAAAATGTACAGTGGTTAAGAACTGAGCTGCGGAAGGTACATTCCAGAGACACCAAAGCTTTGCAAACCAAGCACTTTTCACCTTCCAGACATTTGGCAAAGTGTAACCCAGGAGAGCTTGGGATGCTTCAATTTCATGGACCAGGGACTCAGCGCTGAGTTCACAGACACCCACACATTCCACTTCCACCCCCACCACCACTCTGACTGATCATTTCAGCTCTATGGTCCTCGTGATGGCTAGAAGCCTGGAAGAATGTGTCATGGACCCATTGTTTCTGAAAGGAAACGCACAAAAGGCATAGCTCTCTTTTGTGCAGTGCTAGAGGAAGAACCAACATGCTGCTGGACATGCTGAGGCTCCGGGCATCGCTATTAACCTACAAAGCATGCACAACCCGGTGACCAGGAGCTTTCACCACTTACTTACCTGGGAGACCGAGGCTAAGAAACTCATTGGCTGAGAGGAGAGCTGTGGCTCAGAGAAACCCTGGGGTCAGATGGCATTTGGGGGCCAGCAGAGCCAGTCACTAGGGTCTTGGGGTAGGGGATGCCCTTTGTAACGCTAAGGGAGTAAGGACATTTGAGTTGCTCATAAGAGTCTCTTGATGTTTCGCTCAGAAGACCTAAGACCAAAGTTACAAGTCTGAAATCTGTCAAGTCAAAATCTAGGCTATGGTGGGGTTTGTGTTTGTTTCTAGGGGAGAGAAATGGCATTGATAGGAAAGGAACGTGAGGGACTTTGTAGGGTGATGGGGTGTAGGTCATTTGTATACATGAGTATTCATCTGTCAAATTCATTAAATCATATATTTCAGATCTGTGCATTTTATTATATGCATAAAGAGAAACAAGAAACGAGATTTGAGGGGGAAAACCCTAGCTGTCTCCTCTACCTGGGAATTTCCCACTCGTCATTCTCTATCAGTTGTTGGGTCCATCTTTTCCTTGGTAGAAACTGAATGTCCTTCCTCCACTATGGGGGAAATGCAGATTCCTCTGCTAGGGAGCTGGAACTTGTAGTAAGACTAATTCGGAAGGCTATTTCTAGCCACCATTGATCCGAACTGAACCCCTTGGTGTGACATGCAGGCATCTTTCATTCTCACTATGAAAAGTACTGTTCTGCTGAATTGGGCTCACCAACTGACTTTGTCAGGTAAGAAATGAGAGGTCTCAGAGATGGGCTGTTCTTTCAAGGACTGTGAAGGTTGCCTATGAGTCAATGATGCTCAAGTTCATAGAGGATGCATGTATGTGGAGTTACAGGCCTGAGAGGGATATGCCAAGGAGAACAGTCAGAAACCAGCCAGGTGCAAAGGCAAGGGGTCCTAGCAAGGGTTAGGATCTGTCTAACTTCATCATGTGACTCTCTGGGGGTTGGAACTCCTGATATATTTTCCCCACTGAGCAAGGCAAAAAATGAACAATTTGAATAGAAAGTCCGAGGCATTCCATGGCATTGCTTTTCGTAATGACATTTGAGAGTGGAGAGGGAGAGAGCTACCTCTTTGTAATGGTTCAGATGTCTGAGAAACACTGGCAGGGGATCATAGAAGATGATACTTAAAATCATTTCAAAACATTTTCAGCTTCCCGTCTTTTAGCACCCTGTACTCAACTTTGTGACGCAAAGTGGGGTGGATGAAATGGAAAAGACAGGTAATGGAACAAACTCAAGATGATACCTGATGTATTCATAGAAGAATGACACAGATCAGCATGGGAAGGAGCAGGTATTTCTGGGTGTCCTGCAGCAGGGAGTCAGTCGGGAGCCCTATAGCAAGACCCGTTCCTGGGGTCTGGTTCCTCCGGAGCCCTCACCCAGCTTTCTGATCTCTCGCAGGGGCTGAAGGGCATTTTATTTGGTTTTAAAATATTCTATTTGAGTGTTCTATAAGAAGATATGTCACAAACATAAAACATTAAAAAAACCAATGATAGGTGAGACTTAAACTAATAACAAAAACATATAGCTGAAAAGTAGTACATGTTCAGATAGTCTTAAGCCTGAGTCTGCTTTGAAAATATCCAAAATAAAGATCAGGGAACTTGTAAAAAGCAGCCCATTGGCCTATATGCAGTAGTGTGAACAAGCATGCGTTGCTGGGTGCATGGTGAGTGGTGGGACCTGGACTCTACCCAGCTGTCACATCAACTGAAAGGGATATCTACAAAACAGGCTCAGGGACCCTTACCAGGTTCAGATACCTCACTCTAATACCTACCAGTGATTTTCTTTTGCAATTTGAATTTAGAAAAGGTGAGCTGCCAGCCACATTTGCTGGATTAGTGTAAAGTGGCCAACCTATCTTTTGACCTCCTGGGCCTTTCTTTTTGAATTTCTGATTCTTCTTCTGTTGGGCAGCATCCATACCTCAGGTGCCTCCCTTTGCAAGCATTCTTTTCCCATTGCCTTGATGGAGGGCAGGGTGGAAATGGTCCAGTGACTAAGGGCCCAGGTTAGCGGGTGTCTTTTTATTCTCATGAAATGGATGAAGAGCCAGACTCAAATAGAGCTGGAGAAATTTGCCTGAAAACAGACAGCCACACAGTGGAGACCTAAGGGGGGGTCTCATGAGCCACACATCTACTTGGCACATGGCAGTGACTCTCAAGGGAAGAGGCAGATGGGAACACTCAGAGACTAGGCATTCCTCCTACCCATCACACTGCACCAGCTTTCTGGGCAGTGCAGGGTGATCTTCCTTGAGTGTGCTTGGGCCCATCTCAGACAGTTTCTGCTCTGCTAAGGGACTTCCCTTCCCCATAGTTAGGGATTCTGTGGCAGGGGAGGTACTCCTTGTTGGCTGACAAGCCTGGCTAAAGGGATGTTTGGCTACTACACTGAGCTGGGTGCAGGTGGGCATGGCGTCATACATATAGATTTATAGCAGTGGTGGCTGGACAGGCCAGGTGAAGCCACCATTGTGTTTGTGACCCTATGTTACTAGTGCCTCGACTCCTATAGTGACTGCCCTAAGGACAGATACAGGTGTGATTGACTTTTCTAAGGTGAGTCAAGCAGTGGCCTTACTCCCATTAGAAGTGACCCCATTTCAAGTCATTCTAGACCAAGTATCCAATTTGGGGTATTCCAGACAGACCGAGGAACCTTTCCTGGGTGGTGTCTCAGGACTCTGGCTCCTCCCTCTCATCAAAATCATTACTTAGGACATTCTTTGGAGAGCCGACTTCTGCCTGTCAGTTTGAGTGAGTGATGGGACACCATCCTCCATATTCCTCTAGCTGCAATAGGAATAAATCTGGAACCAGGCAGGGATGTCAGGAGTGAGGAGGACGCAGCAGCTGAGCTCTGCGTTGGTGGCAGAATGCCCAGGCATGGATTCTCTGGCCTCCTTTCCAAGTTGTTCAGTTCCATCTACCCTGCTACTCTGCCTCCCCTGCAGTGGAAGCTGTGCCTCCAGCTGTGGGACCCCTAGTCTCTCCTTCCTCTGATTCCAATGGTACAACCCTACTGCCCTTTCTACCCTCAACTTGCAGAACTTCCTGGTGGCCTCAGGAGTGGGGGGGGGGACATTTACTTGCAAGGTCTTTTAGTAGCATGCCTGCCTGAGGCCTGCACAATGTCTGCCTCTCCTCCTCCTCCTCCTCCTCCTCTCCTTCTTCTCCTCTTTTTCCAAGACAGAGCCTTGCTATGTAGCTCGGTCCAGCTCCAGTGTCAGACCATGCTGCCAGTCTTCCACATGCTGAGGTTGCAGTGTGCACTACCACAGCCACTTGACTGATCAGTCAGTTTTTATTTTCTACCTTCAGGATTCTGGCTTTGTCTTTGTAACTTGTCCTCCTCCTCCTCCTCCTCCTCCTCCTCTTCCCTTGATGTACATGGGCATCTAAGCTCTGGTTTACTCCGAATTAGGTAAAGGGCAAAGTCTCAACGAAACAGGGACATGACTGTGTTGCTACTGGCAACAACTGGATCCTCCTCTTTTTCCAACAGGGAAGTTCAAGTAACCCTTGTCTATGACTACAGGGGTGTGCAGGGCTAGGACTTGGTAATTTGATATTATGGACAAGACAGCAAAAGATAGTCACGTGATTGGCAGCATGTGATTCTCCTGTGAGGACTTCAGCTCCATCCTCCCTAAGGCACTTGTCTCCTATAAACATATACATTAGAGCCTAGGAGATGGGAAGTCAACTCGATGACCTGCCCCTTGTCCTCTGCCCCACCAAAGGAAGGATGCTTCATGAATGTCCAGTCCATTTGGACATATGTGCAAAGAGGGCAGTTCATCTTCCTTCCCTGCCTACCATCTGGGCTGCAATTCAGCATGTAAGAGATGGGTACACCTAACTTGGAAAAGGAGCAGGTTAAGCAGCATTTTCAAGAGTTGTCTGGACAGAACCTTGGGTCACTGAAATTCCTAGCTACAGATAACCTTCTTCCCCTTTCTCTGCAGACCCTTTTCTCATGTTTCTGAGGTGCTTTTTGGTCCCCATGGAACACTGGATGGGTAATTTCCCATCTTCCTTTGCCCCTAGTGGTCTATCATAGAAATATGAGGCTTCTGATTTTCCTGGGGATTTGGCCTGGGCTTACAAAAGGAAAGCCTATGAGAGCCTTAGCTGGAAGAGGAAGCCTAAGCATGCTGCTATTGCGTTTGAAAGCATCTGCAAAGGAAGTGGGCACTTCTGTCCCTTTCTGCTAGGAAAGACAACAACTACAGGGTCCACACCCAGGATAGTCCTTACACACTGCCTCTAGGACAAGGGGCTAATGTCAGCATCATCTCTGGGCCCCCAGCTCCTCGTTTCTTAGGAAGGAAAACCTACGGGTGCCAAAAATAGGGATGCCACCAAATGGGCACCCCTGTCTGTTCACAGGACCAGTGTATTAGAACAGGAGCAGTGGGTAGAGTTGAGGCACAGACAGACAGATCAGCTCTGCTGGATTGTGGAGCATCTTCTGTGTAGAAAGATTCCCAAGGTTAGAGAGTGTGCAGACGCTGGGATCACTCACCCACTGTTGGAAGGAAGCCACCTCGGGGGTGAAACGCGGCGGCCATTCTGACTCTGCGCCAGCAGCACTAGGCAATTGTGTTTGGGGGAAGGGAAGTGAAGAATAACTTATCCAGCTGAAACCATGAAGACCTGTGGCTTTAGAGGAGCCCCGGCCCAGAAACAGGTATAGCCATGGTGGGCATGCAGTCCATGCACGGGCGCATGCAGGCCTGTACCATATACACACCATACACCGAGCACCTAGGCATGTATCTGGAAGGCAGCACATGCATCTGTGTATACACCTGTGCACATGTGTATACAACCATATATGCATATATGTGCATGTTCACAGGGCAGGCATTCACACAAGCATCTCATGCAAGGTATACAAGCAGCTATGAGATTGGCTGTAGAGATTTTTATATCAGTTTCTAACATGCCAATCTTTGACAGTACTGCAAGCTTAAAGCATCTGCCTTTAGATACATTATAAAAACTGAACTCTCCCCGGGGGTGGGGACCCATTCATGTCATTCCTGTTTCTACCGGTGCTACAAGCAGTAGGATCCCACGCCCCAGGGATCTGGTTTATAGAGAGATTTCAGAGCATCTCCTGACACTTGCTTCTGAGTCTTCCAACAACCTTGCTATGTAATAAGTAGTTAAAATATAGAAACCTCTGATTATCTGGCAGATGGAACTATTGGACTTGGTAAGGTGGCATTGCTCAGGGTGGCTCCAGGCAGGAAAACAGCTGAGAGGTGAGCTGCCCGGGAAATGAGGCTGTGTTGTATAGAGGTCATTGCATGAGGGCTGGATTTCACATGCTTCTCATGGATAGAACCATTGCTGGTGTGTGTCTGCAATCAGGAGGCATCTTAAAGTCCTGTACCTCCATAGGAAGCCAAATGCCAGGTCCCGGCAACACAGGTAACATTTTATTGATAGCTCTTTCCACCTCTCAGGCTGGTAAGACCTACAGCTCCAAGGGAAGACCTTAAGGGCCACCAGAAATTGGTCATGTGTCAGAGGCTGCCCTCTTGGGCACCACAGTCCCTCTACTCTTCAGGAAAGGAGGGGCTGAGTCAAGTTTTAAATAGGCAAGTAACAATGGCTACCATACATTGAGTCCTGATCGTGCCAGCCATTGTAGTAAATGCACCTTGCACACATTGTCGTAAGAGAAAGGCACTTACACATTCTCAACTACAAAATCACAGAATTCTGTTGCAAATTACATAAGTGAAGAGAGCTAAGTATGGGCAGCAAGTGACATCACAATGATAAATAATACCGAGTTACCATCAAGCCCATACCCCATAAACAGCATGTTCTGTGTGGTTTTCCCAATTCATCATTTGCTCTTACATCTATTTTATGGAGTGGGGAAACAGGCTTAGAGGAGCTAGCTGCTCACGGTCATCCAACTCAATGGTAGAATTGGAGGAGGATCAAGGTCCACCTCAGGCTATTCCCAGCATGACCCAGTGAGCACTATGAGTTTCCAAGTGATGGCAGCTATCCCTGTCATGCTCTTGTTAAGTGCCAACCTCTAGTAGGCACTGTCATACCCCTCAGGTACATGAGTAAGCTGTTGCAGGGTCTCACATCAATATTGGATGGGATGGGCAAGAGGGGATTCCACTGGGGCTACCTGCCTCTGACTTCTCTGGGCTCTAAAGGGACAGAGTCCTCGGCGGGAGAAGCAAGTGGATGAGAATGCAGGTGAGAACACGTTATGGTCAGGTTTTTGAAATTCAGTTCTGGGTAGATGGTGTAGTTCAGTCATAATCCAGCTCCATCCTCTGGTTAGTGACACAAGCAGAGGCAACTGACTAGGAACAGGGTAAGGAGCAGGCTGGATGGCTCAGGAAGCCAGGTGAGAGAGGTTACTCAAAGATACACTCCTGCTGGGGCAAGATGCACCTTACCATACAGTCCTCTCTGTAGTTCCTGGTAAACGTGGACATGAAGGGTACCCTGACACTAAACTTGGAGGAAGCTGCTGAAGGGCAGGTCAGGGGCCCTGGTGGCCACTACCCAACCCATATTCCTTGGTGGTCCTCAAGATGTTCTACATACCTAGGAATTAGTCAAGAAAGCTATGATTGAGGACCAGCAAATGAGAGGGTCTAAAGCGGTATCATTACCAAGGAAACCTCCATCAAGTATATGACCCCTGATTGTGATTGCCCACACAAGCTAATGGATGCCTCCTTTAGATATTCAGAATTATGGATGCCCTGGAACCTTCTGTATCATCCAGGACAAAATCTGCCTGCTACTTTTGCTGCAAACTTCAGAGTTGGGTTGAGTTTGGGTCTATCTTCATTTCCTAGCTTAGTCAGTTACAATGTTAAAGTTAGACTTTCTGTCATGCTTGACCAACTGCCCCACAAAGCATAGAGGTTCCGTGTACCTGGATGAGAGAGAAGGTCAGGGGCATAGTGTAGGATAGTTCTCTACCCATGTGGGTGCGTTCAGGTGCTCCCTGGGTCCCTGTATCTTCCTCTCCCCTACCTCATAGACCAAGGCCCCAGCTGCTCCTGACGGTATTAAAAGAATGTCTGAGAGAACACAGAAACCATCAACTCTGGCTGGGCTTTCTTTAGTGTTAAAAATGTCTTATTAAAACTTTGCTGACTTTACCAGGATCGCCATGTTTAATGAGAGGCCTCAACGAATTTGAAAGCAAAAGATGAAGAGAGGAAAAAAGCCATAAGCTGTAATCACCATAATTATACAGTCCCACGATGAGTTGAAAGCAGCCCCTGGTGAAGTCTGAGAGAGGAGGGAGTGTCATCTGTGATTGTGTTGGTTCTTAGGACAGCTGAAGAGAATGTGACATGAAAGTCCTTCTTTCCCTTCCCCAGAGTGGGTCTAAGACCAGTTCCCTAGCAGGGCCCAGGAGGAGGGGTGCATTGGGAAGGCAGTTCTTCAGTGGACTGAAGCCCCCAGGGGCATGTTCTGTTTCCAGTGTCAGTTTCTCCACTTGAAATCTGCAGTGGCACTGAGTAAAAGACAAATAGCTTTGTCATCTTTTCTGCTTTCAACAAAACACTTATTCTTGTTGGGAACTGTGAGAAGCCAGGCTTTCCTCTGGGACAGTGGACTCCACGTAGTTGGCTGTGCCTATCCCTCTGTGCGAGTGCCCATGTCCTTTCCTTGTTGACCTCCTTTTAGGCACGTAGGGAAGAAAGCCCTGTCACCAAGGGTTCAGCTGTAGCGACAGCAAATGGTGAAGGTCGGGGAAGGGGAGAGGCGCAGATGACATGTGGAGGACAGTAATTCCACTTCTTGACAGTTTCCCTTGCCTTCTGCGTGTCATCATCTGGCTGTTGCTTTCCCAAGGCAGAGTCCTAAATCCCTCATCTCTAATATCAGCAAACTCTCTCCTTCTAACCCATTCACCTTTCCCACAACTTGTAAACCACTGAATGAAAAATAGTGGGATTCATCTAAGACATATTTAATGCATCCCGGAATTCTAGTTGGAAGAGATTATGGAATTGGGTGCAGAAAGCTATGCTTCAAATGTCCTTTACCTTGGACTTTTGTTTGTTGTTGTGTTTTTATTTTTTGACAAGGTCTCCCTAGTCCCAGTCCACCTGGAAGTCACTACCTGGACCAGGATGGTGAGATCTGCCTGCCTTTGCCTCCTAAGGGCTACAATTAAAGGCTCTAGACACCACACCTGGTATGACCAAGGACATTCTAAATGCCACCCTTGAGGTTTAGTTCATTGCTAGGTAGTTGCTGCTGCTAAAATATTCTCCAATAGAGTGACCTTCTTCATGTCTTCTACCCACCTGATTTAGCTTTACTGTCTGGAACAATACTGTCCATTTATTTGGGGAGATGAACACAGACAGACCTCATAATGGTCATCAGATTTGCTTGAGGCCAGGCAGCTTTATCTACTCCTGTTTCCCCTGATGTGGCCTTCATGGTCCCTTTCTCTTCTGACTTTCATCTGGCTTATCCCTGGATAAGATGTGGAGGATTAGCATCAAGACTCAATAGAGCCTGGAACAGCACAAAATAGTGCCCCCCCTCTGCCTGCTGACCATTTCCATTTCTGTTATGACAGCTTTAATCTGCCTCTTTTTAAAATGGTCACATCCTGCTGTTGCTTATATTTTTAATATTTTATTCACTATTTTTATTTTATGTGTATGAGTGTATTGCCTGTGTGTATGTGAGTGCACCTGTGTAGTGTAATGCCGCAGAGGTCAGAAGAGGGTTTCGGATTCCCCTGGAACTGGAGTTAAGGCAGTTCGTAGCTGCCATGTGGGTGCTGTGAATCAAACCCGGGTCCTCTGCAAGAGCAGTCAGTGCTCTTAACCGCTGAGCCATCTCTCCAGCCCCCTGTTGCTTATATTAAACCATGGCCAACTACAACTCCAATGCCCTCCCTGCCATTTTTTTTTTTTAAACCTGAACTGCAGGGAAGGCTACAATTACCATCCTGTAGTTATGAAACTAAATTATTTGTAAGCATCATTTTCATCTGGTTAAATTTTATCTAGTTTTCAATCGCCATTCTGCCAAAGAGACACTTTTCAATTATGATTCAATTCTAATAAGCAGTATTTTCTAGGTAGGGACCTCAGATATGGTTGGTATATTTGTGTCTTCATTGAAGTCATTAGAAAGGATGTTAGGTAGGTCAGGATCACCCAAGATCCTGGTTGGCATAGACTGATAACTCATCCTCTCCTTGACTGCTGTGAACATATTTGCTTTACCTAGATATGAAAACCACAGAGGTTGGGGAGGTGAGCAGGGGAGACAGGGCAGGAATAGAGATTATTTTCAACCCTTATGTTGAAACTTCACTAATAATAGGTTTAAACACATATTCCCGGGAGTAGGGGTTGCCTTAGTAGGGTCACCTTCCCATGGAAGCGAGGCGAGTGAATGTGGTGTGTTCTTGGCAAATGCTACATGAATGAGGCCAGTTCTTATTGTTGCTCAGGTCATAAGGACTTGGCTATGATGAGGGGGTGTGGAAGAATCACTGCTGTTTGGACCCTGCCTCACCTTCCCACTGAACAGGAAGCCACCCAGAGCCACCCCCCAA